TCAATCTGGACGTTCCGCTACCAAAGTTCGTTTGTGTGGTAAATGTAAGCAACCCGACCACCGTAGGAACAAGTGTCCTCAAAACATTACCTAGTTTCTTTGTGGCAAGACATAATTGGGTTGTTATTTTTATTATTGATTTGTGTGTGGTTAATGTAATAACTTTGTGGGACATATTGATGTGTGTAGTTTTGTTATGTTTGTTTTAGTTATTTTTAAGATGAATGAAAGTTGAAGTGAAAATGAAACAAAAAGAAACACAAAAAAGATTTCAGTTGGTATTTTGAACATCGAGCCGCGGTTGATGTACTCTCTCGGCCAACCTTGGTTGGGACGTCAACCGGCTGTGAATGATATTCTGAACAAGAAACCTAGGAAGAGACTCCATTTTTTATAGGCGCGACTCCATTTTTCCTCTTCGTCCTTCTGCAAGTAGTTCACAAAGGGTGAACTTACTTTTTTGCCCAAGAACCTCATACGTCGTTGTTGTCGTGGCGCATTATCCTCATCATCATTCTCATCAATCGCCTAGGAGTTTTTTGAAGCAAAAGTATTAGTTGTAGGAGATTCTCGACAAATTTAAAAATGTAGAAACTTGCAACAAAAATTAGTTGTTGTACTCACCGCCTGCTCCACAGCTTCATGAGCAGTCTGGACAATGTCAGGAGACATTCTCCTCATCATCCTTCTCATCAGTCGCCTAAAAGTTTTGGGAACAAAAAATATTCGTTTACGAGAACAGAAGTTTAATTATGCAAATAATAAACAAATGTTCGTTTACCTCATTATCAACCACCTGCTCAGAATCCTGAGGTGACTTCTTCTCGGACCTCTCCTCATGAATCAACTAAGAGTTTTTAGAACAAAAAATATTAATTCTAGAAGAACCAAATTGTTATTCAGGAAAAAAAGTACAAAAGTCAAATCCAAATGTAATAATTTACCTCATTGGCATACACCTCATGCTTCTTCTCCTCCTCTTCTTTCTTAGCCTCCTTCTCCTTCTCTTCTTCATCCTCCTCATCCTTCTTTTCCTCTTTCTCCTTCTCTTCTTTCTCCTCCTCTTCTTTATTAGCCTCCTTCTCCTTCTCTTCTTCCTCCTCCTCATCCTTCTTTTCCTCTTCCTCCTCTTCCTCCTCTTTCTCCTTCTCTTCTTTCTCCTCCTCTTCTTTCTTAGCCTCCTTCTCCTTCTCTTCTTCCTCCTCTTCATCTTTCTTTTCCGCTTCCTTCCTTTCTTCATCTTCCTTCTCTTCTGTCTCAGCCTCGTTATCAACCACCTAAGAGTTTTTGGAACATAAAATATTAGTTTTAGGAGAAAAGTACAACAAAACATCATGTTGTTCGGAGCTCATTCAAATCATGTGAATGCTTAAAACAACCATAACAAATATTCTCACAACCATAACTCTACCAGAACAAATCTACAAATGTCAAAATAAACATGTTAAATTATAATCCACCAAAATGAACATGTTGAGTGTCAAAAGAAACTTACCACATGAACAAATTCTGGTATGTCACTTGCTTCTCCTGGAGTTGAAGGATTCTCATCTCCTTGCTTTGTACTCCCAGGTCTCTCTGACATAGAATCATTCCCAGCTCTCCTTGCTTCCTCAAATGCCCGCTTAATGGCATCGGGGACGAGCTGTCTCAAAGTTCTCTCAACTATCGAAGGCACCAACTCCTTCAAACAATTTGAGACTTCTTCCTTTATCAATGCTCTGAGGAGATCCTTGTCCATTCCCGAAGTTTCAGGTTCCCTAACCTCCCTCTCTTCCTCCCTCACCATCTCTTCTTCCTCACCATCAGTACCCTCAAGACTACGAGCCTTCTTGTAAGGTTTCTGCGTCGACGCAACAACCTTGCGCTTATTTTTCTGTAGCTTCTTGTTT